AACTGCATTTTGCAGAAGAAATTGCAGGCCTCCTACCTAGTCCAGCTCACAGGACTCACCTACTTCCTGGCCTTCTCAGTCAGTCAGCCTCAAGACACTCTTCCTGCATGACTGAATAAAACCAGAGTTCAGCCCAGGGTTGAGGCCTTTGTTGTGCGGATAACCATCACCACGGCTGGACTTAGGATCCTTTGGTTCACCATAAGTGTACGTATGGTTTAGTGTCTTCATTCTTGCAATGAGTTGTACTGGAAGTGTTAGACTGGAATTAAGTTGAAGGGATTCTAATAATTTATCCATGAGATTACAAATGTAAACTTCCCAGGGTCAGTGAGATAGCTAAGTGGAGTAAGTGCCTGCTTAGGCAAGCGCTGTACCTGTCAACACATCCTGCACTGGCCATGTCCCTACAGGCATGCTGAGCCAGTGACCAAGACTAGGCAGAGTGGCACGCATGCACTAGACGCTGAAAGAGGAGGATCACTACGAATCTAGCTGCATAGTGAGACCCCATACCCAAACATTAAAAAATAAATGAAAAATAAAATAAAAACCAAAACAAATATAGACTTCACGGACTGAGATGAACACCTGGAAGGGCTCTCTATAGCAGTTGATATAGGAGATGACAGGGGCATGTCAAAGGATGGTGGAGCAGAAGTTCAGCCTATTTTCTGCAGGGACAAAGGAAGCAGAGCCCCTGACAGCATCAGAAGCCAGTCATCCCCGCTCCTGCCCCAGGAAGTCACCATCCACATCTGGATGGCTTGTGAGCAATACTTGTGCTCACATCTGCTATGCTCTGCAACGTGGGTGGTAGGGGCCAGGGCTTGCGTGGGGCTGCTAGGTTGGGGTATGAGCTGAGAGAGAGGGCCAGACTGTCCCAGCCTCCCCTGTCCCAGCTGACCTCAGGGGCCCTGGTTCAGGCTGGCTAGGTCTGTCAGCACAGTGGCTTTGTTCTTGTCTAACCAGTTCCTGGAGTGGTGGTTTGAGATGGTCAAGTACTGCAGTTCTGACCAACTGGAGATCTCCAGCCTGCTGGCACAATGCTCCATGTCCCTGAATGTCAGTGGGACCAAAGTGATACAGGGGAATTAAACACCCAACCTGAGGGTACCCAGGATGAGTTTGTGTTCTCTAAAACCGAAGAATGTATTCTAGGAACAAATGAAGTTTAAGAGCAGAATATTTATTGGGGGAAGGAAAGTTTCTGTCTGAGACAGGGACAGAAGGGAGACCCGAGTGGGTTGGTCTAGGAAGCTCTCTCTTCCAGAGATTTTTATAGAGTAAAACCATGCAGTGAGGCAGGTCTAAGGTGGAGATTATTGGAATTCATTTTGGCGGGCAACACATGGGACAAAACTAGGTCATCCAATGAGATTACAAGCACCATTGTTCACGTTAAAGTGGGGGTTGCATAGTGACCCCTTGGGGCTCTTTCAAGGTGATTGATACCTATTTAGAATATCAATGCCTGATGCCCCTCCCTAGGGAAGTATGTGGCTGCATTTGCTTTCTCTTTTGTCTTTTGAAGTCTGGCTCATAGCAGGAGAGTGTCTGTCTCTTCCAAAGCTGCAAAGTCACCTTGTCTTTCATATTTCTCCTTGAGGGCCTGGCCTTGTTCCACTACCCAACCCCCAACAGAAAGTGACACTGTCCTGTATTCATACCCTCTTGTGGCATAACTCGATTCCTAATTTGGTCTTAGATTTAATCAATTTGACCTGAACAATGGTACTTGTAATCTCACTTGTCCACACCATAGTTTTGTGCCACCTCATGCCCACCTAAGCGAGTTCCTGTGTTTTCCACCTTACATACTGCATGGATTTACTCTATAGAAATGCCTTCAAAAGTCAGATTCCCTGGGTAACCTACTTAGGTCCCCATTCTGTCCCTCTCTGTTTACAGATAATAATTTAGCTGGGGAGATAGCTTGGCAGTCTAAGTGCCTGCTGGGCAGGCGCAAGGTCCGGCTTTTGATCACATGCCCTGCCAGCCCCTGAACCTTGGGAATGCTGTGCTAGCCTCGAAGAGGCCTGTAGTGGCACAGCCTGTAACCCCAGTGCTGGGAGGCTGAGACAGGAGCATCACTCATCACCATCATCATCACCATCACCAACGTCATCTTCACCATCATCATCACCATCATTTGGAGACAGGGTCTTGATATATGTCTCAGGCTGGCCTTGAACTCTCAGTGACCCTCCTGCCTCAGCCTTCCCAGTGCTGCATTACAGGTGTGCCCCAACATGCCTGGCATAAAAACTTATTACTGAGAAAGGATTTGATGTTACTTATTTGAAGTTTAATTTATGGACTTATTTACCTGGTAAATAATTCTTGAGCAATTATTATATATCAGACAGTGGGGTAGGTGTTTGGATACTCTAAAAGGAAAAACATTAGACTTTCTGCATGAGAATAATGAGTGGGACAATAAAATAGCACCAATCTGTGCTGTATTACACTAAAAGGTGTAACGGAGCTACGCAAAGTGGTGGACAGGGACATTTGACCTTGGCTGAAAAGGAAGGGAAAATTAAATCAGTGGAAATGCGCAAAAATGGCAAGGTCTTAGTGGGGAAGAGGGTTTCAGTACTTGTGAGTGGGGAGGTAAGGCCTGGGTTACACATTACAGCATTTGCTTTTGCCATAGTATAGTGAACAGGTTTTGAAGAGGTTAGAAGGAATTTGGCAGATTGATTAGGAGGTTATTAGAGCTGGGTGTAGTGACACACCTGTAATTCCAGTACAGGCTGAGGCAGGAGGATTACAGTGTGTTCTAGGCCATCCTGGGCTCCCTAGAGAGTTCAAGGTCAGTTTCCGCTACATAGGGAGACCATGTCTCAAAAACAAAAACAAAAACAAAAATTAATCAAGGGCAGTTTAATAGAGAACTGTGATTATTAATGATGGAGGTAAAGAAGATGAAGGGAAAAAGCAGTACTGTTTGGATAGAATCAGGGATGGCTGGAACAGGAGGTGAGAGGAGACAGATCTCAGCTGGATCATTAGCTCAAGCTCCTCAGAGGAGAGCAGGCGAGGCTTCCCTGAGGGGGACATAGGCTCACATCAACTTGGGCACCTCTGAGAATCAGAGCACAGCCAAGTGACCTGTGCATGACCACATCTGGACCCCTGGGAAGCAACTTAGCTTGGTTTGTTTGTTTTAGAGACAAAGTAGCCCAGGCTGGTCTTGATCTCACGATGATCCTCCTACTTCAGCCTCCCAAGGGCTAGAGGCCCAGGCCCCTATCCAATGGCCAGTAGCCTAACTTGGACATAGACATTGTGGGTGGTGGCTACGTGGAGCAGAGCAGGTGGGAAGAGCCTTTATACCAGGTGTCAGCCCCACTCCAGTGCTCAGCACAGAGTCTGGGCATCGCGGACCCAGGCAAGCACCGACCCCATTCAAGTGGTGCTGTTCAAGCCCTGTGTCTGACTACAGAATAAACCCCTCTGAGTCCTGATCAGTGTAGGCAAAGTTACTCATTTGTGCAGAAATATCACATGGGTAGACCCTGCTTGACTTGTTGAAAAGTTAACCATAGACATTGGTTAGGTTCTAAAGACTTTTTTCTTTGTTTTGATTTTAGACAGGATCTGGCTGTGTAGTTCAGGCTGGCCTTGAACTCATAACTATCCTTCTGCTTCAACCTTCAAAATGCTGGGATTAGAGGTCGGCAGCACCGTGCCTGGCTAAATGACTTATGTGGCTTTGAAACACTAAAAAAAAAAATTTTTTTTGAGACGAAATCTCCTTATGCACTTAAGGCTAGGCTTAAACTGATAGTAATCTTGCCTCACCCTCCTCAATGGTAGGATGACAGGTGTGCCCTACCACACCTGGCTGTCTTTTAAAGAATCATTGAATGAAAAAACTTTAGTTGTCTGCTTGGGAAGCAGACAGCGACATAGAGAGATAGGTGGTTTAAGCGCAAAGTCTATTAAACTCAATCTCAGAGCGGCACAGAGACAAACTCAGATGACGGAAGTGTCATTTCAATGTGTTGCAAATACTTATTTGAAATGGATGAACCTGGAGCAGCCCTTCTGGCTTTGGGGGAGTGAAGTGTCCGCATTATTCCATGTCCAGTTGCTCACCATTCTTATCCTCGAAACGTGACTTCCAGGACATTAAGGCTCTTGTGCTTGCCATTCCTACCAATGAGTATTTGTGTATTTTTTTCCTAATTCATTAATTTTGAGTTGAAAATTTAACTTTTCAGGTACGAGGTTCTATGTGGCAGGCACTGTTTTCATTGTATTATCTGATTTAAGAACAAGCATTTGAAATGTTGGGTATGTTGGAGCAAGCCTGTAAATCCTAGCATTCAGGAGGCTGAGGCAAGAGGATCCCTGTGAGTTTGCGACCAGCTTGGACTGCAAAGGAAGCTCAAGGCCAACCTGAGCTGCATAGTGAGATCTTGTCTCAAAAAAAAAAAAGGGGGGGGGGATGGGGATGTAGTTCAGCAGTGAGTCACTGGGTTCAATCACCAGGATCAGAGTAAATGAACAGCGGCACTGAGCACTGTGAGAAGAGAGATGGGTGAGGCTTTTACCCTCAAGATTCTTCGTTTGGTGGAAATAAAGAGCCAACAATGAGGGAGGCCCTGAACATAACAGGCAGCATATTTCTCCCAACCACTGCAGTTGGTTTGGGCTGTGAAGCAACAGGTGAAGCCCCCTGGGCCACCCCAAAGGGGAAGAGGCTGAGCTGGTGCTGTGTTTAGTTCAGATAAAGAGGAGAAAGGGCCACTAGCCTGCTCCCAAACAGAGCAACTTCCTGAATGATGTTGATGCTAAAATGGGTATTTTGTGCACAGAAGTTAAGTCAGTGACAATGAGAATAAACATTTTAAAATTCTTTTATTTACTTATCTATTTTTCTGTTTATCTATTTATGGATATTTACTGTGTTACTGGGGGCTAAACGAAAGGCTGTCATACCACAATGTATCACCAGACATTTTTCTGGTTTTAAGCAGCATCCCGCGCAGGTGTTGCCCAGGCTGACTTTGAACTCATGATGTCCTGCATTAGCTTCCCACAATGCTGGGATTACAGGTATATATCGACATGTCAGGCAAATGTTTCCCTCTACTATAGAAGAAAAATAATATTTCCTAGAATATTTGGGAACACAGTTGAGAGTGAGAATGAAGATTTGAATTATTCAACTGAGAAGCTAGGCACTGTGGTGAACATCTGCTCGCAAGATATCCAGGAGGCCGAAGCAAGAGGATTGGAAGTTTGAGGCCAATCTGAGCCACTCAGGAAGGCCTTGTTTCCAAATGAAATACAAAGGCCTGGAAAAGTAGCTTAGTGGCAGACTTTTGCCTAGCATGCGTGAGGTTCTAGTTTCAATCCCCAATGCAGAAAAACTATTAAATCAGCCATGATCTCAGTGCTGAGAGGGACGATGGGCTTCACGCCCATAGGTTCCATATCTATGGATGAGTTTTTTACAGTAGGAACCCCAAGGGCAGGGATGAAGGCTGTGGTCTCTGTGTGGTCTCGAGGTTGCATGTACTTGGATCCTGGGGTCCCAAGGTGATGCCACTGGAGGTGGCAGAGCCTTCAAGAGTTGTGGCCTAGTGAGGGATCCCTTGCTAAGGAAAGCTTGATCATGCCCTTGAAAGGAACAGTGAACCCTGCTTTCTCTTTCTGGTTCCTGACTCAAGAGGTGACTGCTTGCTTTGACATATGCTTTTGCCATGTGCCATTCACCACAAAGTTCTTGACAGATCTAAGCCATGCCTTGAACTCTCCAAAATTGTGGGTTAAAGAAACCTTTTCACTATAGAAACTTAGCAGCCTCAGGCATTTCATTGTATTAATGCAAAGCTAACTTACATGGACTTGTGTCCATGGAATGATTCAGGACATAACTGAAACTGCAAGTACAGTGGTACCTTGCTTCATGAATTTAGTTCTTTTCACAATTCTGGTCATAAACCAAACTGGACTAGAAGTGAATCAAATTCAACAGTCAGGTTGAATGTTGTCCTTATGGACAAATTTGATTCAGTTCTTATCCAATTTGGTTTTTGACCAGAATTGCAGAATGAATTGAGTTTGTGAAATGTGGTCCTGCTGTAAATAATAAAATCTTAAAAAAATAATGTGCAAAACTGGAATCTAATAACAAGCATACTATAATTTCATCATAAAACATCAACTTTCCTTTTGTCCACCACCCTCTTTTTGAGATGGGGTTTTACAGGCCATCAGCTCCCTATGTAGCTCAGTCTAGCCTCCAACTCACAGCATCCTTCTCCCTCAGTCTCTTGAGTGCTGTGAATACAGGTTTGTCCTTCCACAAACAGCAGAAATCACAGTTTTAGCAGGTCAGACTTGTAAACTTAAATTGGTTCATTGGCTATCGAATTGGCTGTTTTGAGTCCAGTTCTTAAATTCTTACAGAACTAAGATTTTCCTGAAGTTCTGAGGACTTTTCCAGAGTTGTGAAACTAAAAAGGGAAATGAAGACTGGGACTCAGCTCCCTGCACCTCCTATATACCTGATCTTCATTCTTATTTTTTCTCTTCTTCTTCTCTTTTTCAGACAGTTTCACTATCCAGTTCATGGTTTACTTGAACTCACATTCTCTATCCTTTTGAGACAGTCTTCTTAGGTTGATAAATGACCCAGTGTCTTAGTCACTTTTCTCATTGCTGAGACTAAATGCCTGACAGCCATCAATAAAAGGAGGGAATTTTCTATCCAAATTTTTGTTTTCTCTGTGATGACAAGCCTACAGTGTTATGGTCCATCTACCTCAGGGTATGTCAGTGCTGTAACTGATAGACAAAGGAGGCAGTCAGAGCTGAGATTTGTGCTGGATGATCCCAACAAGCTGCAGAAGGACTAGGGCCGGGTGCCAGTTCTGGTGCTTTCAGATCCTGTGAAGTTTGGCTGATCCTGGCCCCAGGCTGTGGGGTTTGGGCCTCAGTGATCAGGCCACAACACTCTGAGTATCCTTAGCTGGCCTGGCCTTGGCTCCCTGACATGTCCCTCAGTCAGTCACTGGGTAGGCACCCTGAGATGAAGCCAATCACTGGGAGCTCGGAGTCCTGGGTCCCGTTGACTCCTCCCTAACATGGAACCTGGCCACGTACCTTCTCTTTGGGACACAGCAGTTGCCTGGACTGGAGTCACCAGCTGTTGTATTGAAGCTCTCAGCATCCACTGCTCTGCTCTATGGTGTGGGTTTCTTCCTGGAGGCCTCTGGAGTACCACACTCAGTAATGTCTCCATGGATTTAGCCTTTTCTTTCCTCACACAAGCTGGGAGCCAGCAGAAAGTACACATTGCCTCTTCTTATCCACATCCAGGACAGCTCTTGAGAAACTTGTGGAGGGAAGACCATGAAGAAGAGAAGACAAGGATCAAAATGTAGACGGCTGAGGTCACATGGAGTCCCCTCTTCTGGTGGGAGAAAGAGTCACCTAATAACTGCAATGTGGTTTTTAAATTTTTCTTAGGAGCTGGAGAGATAGCTCAATAGAATAAGCGCTTCCCTGACAAGCGCAAGGGCCTGAGTTCAATACCTGGTTCCACAAAAAAAAATAAATAAATAAATAAAAATAAATAAGTAAATAAAATTTTATTTACTTATTTATTTATTTGTTATAGGGTTTCACTATGCAGCTTAGACTAGTAGTGATCCTCCTCTCTCAGCCTCCCCAGTTCTGAAATTAGAGGCATGTGCCTCCATGTCCCTTATAGTGGCTGGCTCTGTGTGGGGCCAGCACAGCATGAGGTACTGGAGACATAAACCAGGTCCTTGTGCTTTTTAGTCATGAGCTCAGACCACTGACTGAGCTATCTCCCCAGCCAGTAGCGTGTTTATTTCTACACTCAGCATGTTGATGACAGAAAATCTCCTCTGCCTAACAACCTGTTCACCTGGCTCACCTTGAAGCCCTGTGTGCTTGGCGCTGGCCCTGCTCTAGGCCCACTCACGTGATCAGTCTGCAGCTCAGCCACTCCCCACACTTGTTTTCTTCATTGTGGTTGGTCTATTCATTTTCTCTGTGCACCAATTTTCCCTTCAGATCCTGCATCCAGGGGATCTACCGCCTTCATTTTCCCCCAAGTTGCTATTTTACAGTTCTGAATCTTGGTAAAATTGGTTTGTGGCTGCTTGCCACTCTGCCCACCTCCCAGTAGTCCCCTAGACTTTAAAAGAAGTCCTTATAGATCAGGTCCCTTCTCCCTCTGTATTGTATACACTGCCTTTCCAATGGTTATCTCACCATCCTTTACACATAGTTTGAAACACTTTTCGAATCTTAATAAAAATCTTCACTATTAAATCAGCTATAATTGTTTTGATTTTTGTTTTTGTTTTTGAAAACAGAGACAACTTTTCTTAAAAAAAAAAACCCAAAATACCGTACAGAAAATTGAAAAGCATAAATCACCTATTTCCAAGTTGCTGAGGTTTAAAAATTGTACACTCTAAGAATCCGTATGAACGCCGGGCTCCCAAGTGCCTCCTCTTTGTGCTCTCATCTTTATCCATCTGAAAATACCTCAACAGCACATTGCATGTTTTCAATAGCATGTGAGTTCCCTGGCATGTGCCCTTCCACAGCTCCCTCACCAGACTGGCATCCAGCAGGTCCAGCGCACCCATCTGGGGTCATCAGTGCCCTGGGGGGCTTAATTTGAGGTACTTTTCAGTGACATACGGTCATGTTCAATGCCAGGCCTTGGCTTCTTTCTTAGCCTAGTTAGATAAATTTCAATTCATAACAAGCACTAACTCTGAAATCAAAGCAAATATTGTCAGATTCACTTTTAATAATAGAAGTAGAAGGGAGACTCTATTGGAACACACTGTCCTTTCTGGTGGTTGTGTAAACTGACATCGCTTTGACAGAAGGCATTTTGATAATATTTACCAAAAGTACAGAGAAGCATTAGTCTTTGACCCAGGCCCAAAGTTCTGCCTCTGGAAACTTCTCTTGAAGAATTCTCAGGTGTCAGAGATGTGTGTAAGAACTTTGGCTGTAGTGTCCAGCAAGATAGCTCAGCAGACTAAAGAGCCTTCTTGGGCAACTTTTGGCAAGGGCAGGCAGGGAGGTTTGATCCCCAGCACCACCTGTCATGCCAGCGACACCCCCGGGTGGGCTGAGCTGACCACACAGTCCAGGCATAGTGGCCAAAGCCTGTAATCCCAGCGCTGTGGAAGGCTGAAAACAATAATCAGTATGAGTCTGAGCTGTGTAGTGAGACTCTGTAACAACCAAGTATAATAAAATGATAGTAATAATAATATTAACAATAAAAACTTTGGCTGTAATGCTGTCTGACAGGGAGAAGCTCGGGGATTGTCTGTGTGCTGACTGTAGGGAACCTGTTCAAGAGATCATGTCACAGACAGCCAAGTCCAGAGGAAAAAGCATGAGACAGGTTTGTATGCACTAGTAAAATATATTGCTGAGAAAAACAGGAGCTAAGGCTCTAGGCCCGCTATCCCAGCTCTTGGTAGGCTGAGGACGGTATACTTGAGGCAGTCCCTGTCAATTTAGCAAGACTATATCTTCCAAAATGAAATTTAACACAGGTCTAGTTATCTATCTCTGTGAGTCTGTGCCTTCCTCAGGCATGTGAGGCCTCAAGTGCTGTCGTCAGTATTATAAAGGAACCGTTTGGGGACCAGATGAAGAGACAGACACACAGGCGTGCATGTGCCTGGCCATCTCCGAGTGCATTACACAACCCTCCTAATGTAGCTTCTCAGAGCAGGGCGGGTGGTGGCGGGGAGCTGGGCCCTGCAGCCCACAGTGAGCCCCAGGCCACCTGAACTCTCACTGGAGGGACTGCTTTCCTGCTGATCTGAAGAGGAGTCTGAGCTTCTTACTGCACCCAGGAGTGTTTGATGACTGAACCCTCCTGCTTCCCAGGTTCCTTTTCAGCCTCCTGGTCCCCAGTCACCTTTACTTCTGGGCAGACCTCACCCCATCCCGTCTCCTCAGGAGGCCCTTCCCCCAGCCTCCTCTCACTCATCACGCTGGATGCGGGTGGGGATCTAGCTGGTCACCATTCAGCAGGTGACTTCTGCTCCACAGGTGAGGCTGGCCTGCACCCTAAGGCTTCTCAGGAGGAACTACACGTCCTGGGGGGGCTCTGTTTGGGCGGTATCTTCATTAGTAAGCTGCAAGCTGGTGTCTCTCTTGGGTGTTCTGGGCCTGGGCCTGGAAAAAGCAGTCCTTCCATGAACACACCTGAAGGGAAGGGCAGAGGGGGGAGATGAGGAGAGGAGGAAGGGGAACAGCAGCCATGACCTGTCCACCAGCAGTGGAAACAGACCCGTGCGTTGCTGCTCTTCAGGAACCAGCTCAGCCTCTGCGATTTACCTGAGGACTCTACTGTGAGCTCTGTGGCACTAGAATTTTGTTTTTCTTTTCTAAAACAGGGTCTCACTATGCAGTTCAGGTTGGTCAGGACTGCTCAGCCTACAGTGGCATCGAACTCATGGAGACCCTCCTGCCTCAGCCTCCTGTGTTCAACTCATGGAGATCCTCATGCCTCAGCCCCCCCAAGTGCTGGGATCAGAGCTGTGGACCACCATGTCGAGCTCTAGTATGAATAGTATCTAGAAGTTGTGATTTTGGTTCACTCATTGAACATATTTGTCAAGGGCACTGAATCATTTTTCTTTTGTCAAGAAACATCATCTAAATATCTCTTTTCTCTCTTTTCCCTTAACCTCGGGAGGGCAATGGTTTTTGCATAGACAGCGACGATTTCAATCTCAGGACAGTATTTCAATGTACACTTTAGGCTTTTTCTCTTTTTTTGTACTGGGAGTTAAAGCAGAGCCATCTCTCTTGCCCCTTTTGATTTTGAGGTAGGGTGTCTCCAGAACTCACTAGGTTGCCTGTGTTGAGCTCAATCTTCTGACTTTCGTGCGTCAGCCTCCAGAGTGCTGGGGTTACAGGTGTGCATCCTTGTGGTTGGTTATATGTACTATTCAGGTTTTGAAAAATCACAAAAGGGCTGTTGCCTTCCTGCATGAATCAGATGCTTGTGCTGCCTTTAGAGTGGAAAAGCAAACTCCTTACTCACTTGTAAGTCCCTGAGGGAGCAGCCGCCACCTGTCTCAAGTGCTGTGCCCTTGGGTCTTCTGCCAAGTGCAGTCCTGGTCCTTCAGAGCAGCCACTCCTTGGTGATCCCTGCAGTGCTGTCCTCACTGGGGCAGCAGCCAGGAAAGCCTTCCTAGGCCCTCCAGGCCCAGGGCCTCCTCAGGTCCCAGGAGCTCCGGGACACTAGCTGAGTGACAGGAAGGCTGCACGTGCATTGAGCACTGAATTCTGCAGCTGGGCTGGCCCTCAGCCCCAGATACAGTGGCATTCAGAGCCTGTGTGCCCTCAGCTCCCATTCAGTAAAGTCAAAGTGTGGGCACCTCACACCTTTTGGAGTCTATGTGTGGTGTGTGTGGGGGGGTGGTGTGTGTTGGTGGGTGGATGTTGGTACCTGGGGTTGAACTCAGGACCTTGTGCTTATTAGGCAGGTGCTTATGGCACTGAGATTAATCCCTGGCCTGTCAATATTTTGAAGTGATAAATTTAAGTGTTTGTAAAGCATCTAAAATCTAACCATCAAAACAGCTAAATATACTCATTGGAGATGCCAGACCAAGTCAATATGACTCCTGCCTTAGTTTCTTTAAAAATACATCCATGAGCCTTAACAGTGGAAAATAGTACAGTGTTTGTTTTTCTCTCAAACATCTATATGCTCCATCTTTTAGAGAAACAGTTTCCCTATGCAGTTCAGGCTGGCCTTGAACTCACCTTGTAGCCCAGGCTGGCCTGGAACTTTGATGGCTCCAGAGTGCTCACGGTTACAGGCATGTGGTGCCATGCCCCTCCCCTATTTTCATTCCATCCTTCTTCCCCCTCCAATATCATTGCTCACTTCTAAGATCTTACCACAAACCCATGGCCGACCTAGGTTGGGCCCGGATGTCTTGTGCCCCACACTTTATCTAACTCTTTGCTCACACCTGAACCCACATTTCCTTTTAAAGAAGTAAATCAAAGGATTTCCCTCAGCTTGTGAGTCTCCATGGACTTCAGCCCTGACCCAGCCCACAAAGGAAAGAAGAACTGAGCTCAGAGCCCCTCAAGCACACACTCAGAACACTGCTGCACCCTTTGGGGCTTGCTTATCTAAGGGCTGCAGGGCTGGCACCAGGGTGATCTATGTGGTACTTCCAGTATGGGCAATTTCAAGGTGCGGCTCAGTTATACTTGCCTTCACCACTTAGAATAAGTAGGCAACATGCTAGTCTATTAAAATAACCTGCAATTAGAACCTTGGTGGTTTGATTTCAATTTTAGAAATATGTTCATTGCAGGAAAGTATTATATTGAATAATACTTTCAATTTGGACTTTGTCTAATCTGCAAGCTTGAGAGCTACTGGAGTTGCAACTGCCCTGTTTTCCAGAGAGTGGGCAAGTCATCCCATTCCCTGCCCTCACAGAAGATCTCACCAGAGCCGCTGGACACATAATAGCTGACTTCCTTGGTCTTGTTGCTAAAGAGGATTGTCAAATCTCAGGATCCATTGGCCCCACCAAGGTCTCTTTGCCTGAGCCCCAAGTCTCGCTGGACATCTCAAGCAGGACATTCTCTTTTCTTATTGACATCGGTGCCACATAGAGTGTTCTTCCTGAGTTTTCAGGCCATTGCACTCAAGCCGCAGTTCTCATTGTGGGAATTGATGACCAACATGTTGAACCCTTCCAGATAGGACTCCTGCCCTGCCGATTCCACACACCTTTCTATCCTCATAATTTTCTCGTCATCCCAAGTCACTCCAGATCCCTCTTAGGCTGGGATCTCCTCCAAAAACTCTACTTCTCTGTCACCTTCTCTTTTGACAGCACTCATCCTCCTAACTCAATCTCCGCCCGTCTCCAGTTCATCCCTTCCTATTCCTACTGACCTTGTGCCATAGATACTGCCAGTGCCATAGACTGGGGAAGCTCTAGTCTCATTCCCGCTACCCACACTACCCTTGTTCTAGTTCCCCTCAGGGATCCCTCAGTGTTTGCCTGCATTCCTCAATATCCAAAAGCCTCCAAACCTCAATGGGGACTTCAACCCATTATTCAATGTCTCTTAGGCAATATTTGGTAATTTTTTTCACTGGGCATCAACATACAATACTTCTATTCTTCCTGTACTCAAACCTGATGGCTCTACCATTTGTTCCAGGATTTCAGAATTATCAACAATGCAGTTACACCACTCCACCTAGTGGGGCCAAATCCGTACATCATGCTTTCTCATATACCTCCATCCACTATTCACTTAACAGTCCTGGACCTCAAAGTCACTTTCTTCACGATCTCCCTACTCCCTTAATGACAGGACCTCTTCACTTTCAAGTGGAGAAACCCAGACACATCCAGGTCCTGCAGCAGGGATTTGGGGTACTCTTCACTTCTTTAACCAGGCTCTGGTTCCTGACCTGGCAACCCTCACTCTCAATCCTAGCACTCTCCAGTATGTAGATGATCTTCTCTGCTCCCCCTTCTATGTCTTAACCATACAACACAGAGCTACTCTTCCTAGCTTTCTCTTTGGTTGGGAATATAGGGCTTCTCTTGCCAAAGTTCAAATAGCTTCATTAACGGTCAAATGTTTGCGACTTGCCCTCACTCTCACTACCTGCTCCATCACTGCCAATCCCAAAACTCTCCTCTGTGACCTTCAAGTGCCTACTACCAAAAATGAGTTCTTTCTGTGGTCTAGCTAACTTATTTCACCTTTGGATTCCTAGCTTTGCATCTTGGGCTCAACCTCTCTATAAAGCCTCTGAAACTTTCGACCACACTGCTACAGGCCATTCTTCCTTTGGCAAGCTATGAAAGGCCCACTTGGGGCAATGGGTCCCCATCATCCTTCTCATTCTAGGACCTCATGCCATGATCATTCTCTTGTTGCTCATAGCACCTTGTCTTTCAAAACTTGTGAGATTTCTCCAGTCCAGGATATGAGCTTTCACTACCAATGAGTTTCTCATCCTGGCAGAGAGCCCTGACACCAGCTTCCTTATGGGCCTGACTCCTCATCTTGGCAAGCACCCCAAGGCCTTTCAAGAAACTGCCTGTCAGCAGGATGTAGCTAGAGAGAGTGTTGTTACCCTTGTGAACCACAAAATATCAGGAATAAGTAGGTCTGCACCCACACAGCAGTCCACCAGGTCATCATGGTTGTGAGTCAGTGTGACTTGAGGGTCCAAAGCTAGTGATGAGCTGCTCCTAAACTGACTTCCATGTTCTTCCCTCTGGCTAACATTGAACTTCTGCTTTTGTTTTCTGTGACCATGACAAGCCTTCAGTGATCTGTTAGAGCACCATACTGCCCATGGAAACTCCACTTCTAATCCAGCCCCCATGAAAACCCAACTACCAACTCCCTCCCAGAGGACCCTTGCTTCTCTTTAGAAGCCCTCTTGTGCTGGGCAACAGAGGAATCCTTCACTTCTCCCCAACTTCTCTTGCACAAAAGAAGAAAACTTATAGAACGGGGATGTGGACATGGGTGTGTATCTAAGTGTGATGGCCCTGGGTTCAATCCCCACAAAAAAAACCTTACATGGTCCAGTTTCCCAGTCTCCAGTGCAGAAAAAAGCAACCCCTGACAAACACCTCACTGCCCACCCTTGTGTCCCTGCCTGACTTCCCTTATGAGTGGGGGGCCCCTTGGCAATGACTCTTACTTGATTCCTCTCCCATTCACCACTGGCCCAGGAATTCACCTTATGCCAGACCAATTCTCCACATCCCTGATTCCCTTCAGAACTTCAGTTTCTCTTGACTCAAGCCCCCACCCCATGTTCCCTCAGCACACATCATTCTGTGGCTCCTGTGCGGTCCCACTGTTCTGTCACCTTGTGCAGGGCTCATGCTCACCAAGTACTCGCAGCTGGGAGGCTCCTTCCTGCAGGATGGCTGATTGCTCCATGCAGGGTCTCTGGGTATGCAGTGAGCAAGAGAAGCATGGGAAGGGATTTGCACCAGGGAAGTGGCTCCCTGAGCGGCCCCATCTCACCTGGACATGGGAAACTCCCATGGAGCCTGAGTATCCTGGTGAATGGAAGTGCACAGTGATCCTGAGCAGAAGCTCTGGGTAACTCTAGAGTTTAGCAAAGGGTGTGATCCACTGCTGCACTGAGCAGGGAAGCGAGGACAGGTGGGCTCACCAGCAGGAAAGAGTGGGAAGGGGCAGTGTGAGGCTCAGCACTGTTCCAGGTCAAGAGCCTTGAGGGCTTGTGGAGCTGCCTCTGAGTGTGGGGGTCAACCTGGAGTTGACTGTGGGGGTGGTGGACATCCCTGAGGTGAGGGATGGAACCCCAATGGGGCAGAAAAAGGTGGCCCAGATACTGACCTTAGTGGAAGAGACAGGGGATGGAAGAGGGAAGAACAGGGACAGGAAGACAGTGGTGGTGACAACCTTGGCCTCAAAGAAGGGAGTGAGAGCAGGAGGTTGAAGGAGCTATGGGAAGCTTGACTACCTCTTCTCTGTCACATGAGTTTTGGCTAAAGGAAGAAATGAGCAGCCTGCTGGAAGCAGAGCTGCATCCACAGTGGGGTCCTGGGAAGGAAAGTCACCAGTCTGGTCCCCCAAGCCTTTCTGTGTAAGGTTTTCCAAATAGGGCAAGGAAACAGAGGAGTGTCCTGTACTTAGCCTGTGCTTTATTAATTATAAATATGTTGCAATCCCAATCCAAATACCAACAGAGTTCCTCACAGAACTAGACAAAGCAATACTAAAAGTCACGCAGAATAAGAAGAGACCCAGAATACAAAAAGCAATCCTGGTCAGCAAGAACAGAGCAGGAGACCTCATGGTGCCAGATTTTAAGTTATACCCCAAAACTACTGTGGTAAAGAGGGTGGTACTGATACTA